CCTTTGGAATTCACGTCGCCTCCAAACAGCTGCGAAACTTCTTGAATGAAGTCATCCACAGATAGCTACCTGGAGGTCAGTACTCTTGATCTGCAAGACCTCCCACATCGAGCAGCTTCGTCAACTTCGCTACGGTCTAGGACATCATCTTCACCGTATTCGCCGAGGCGCGAGTTGATGGTATGGACCGGGGTACCTGGAAAGGGGAAGACCGATATTTTTGTAGACCCCGACTGAAGGTGAGCGCTGGCGGTTACATCAAGTAACTCGAGAAGAATATCCTCCCTACATGTGGTCGCCCGTACCTTCTTGGAGACCTTGTGCTGCTACAGGTTTGGGTGCCACCACATGGAATCAAAGGGTTTTGGAAAAACTCCCACCTACTTCGAATGGAAGGGCGTTTCGTACCTGGTGAAGATGTAATATTGAAGTATGTCCCCTGACCTGAACCCACTCAATTACCTAGTTCGGGCGGACTTCAAGAGGGTGGTCTACGGTGGCGGAGAAATCGACTACCCCGCTGATCTCAGGTACCACATCGCGGTCGCGTGCCAGAATCTCTCGATGGCGCTCCTCCAGAAGGCTGTGGCGGAGTATCATTATAGTATTTAATGCTCTTTAATATGGTAGTAAAAATGTCCGATAAAAATTTAATAAAGTGTAACTTATAGCGCCTTGAAAGTCATGGAGGCAAAATGACTTTTTTTTGGCCCCCCCTGTATGTATCCTTTCATTCTTAAACCACTGTCTTTGGTGTGTCGTTGTATGTATGTATGTACATATGTATGTATGTATGTATGTATGCATGTATGTATGTATGTCCGTCCGCAAAACGCTTGCACGGGTTCGAGTTCGCTGGAGGAGAAAACGACCGCTAGGCAAACCGGTAACCGATTGGGATGTAGCAATCCAATGATTTGATTTTGATAACAGCCTCCGCTATATAAGACAACCATTCGGTACACTCCGAGCCATTGCACGAGCTGCTGCCGTGGTAGCTGGACGTGTGCTCGTGCGGCAGGGTGCGGGGTGCCAGTCGCCCTGCCTCCCTCATGGGTGGATAGATTAATCGATTGCCAGCGGATCGGATGGTGCAGTGGATAACACGACGGGTTCTGGATGGCACGGGGGGACTTTGTAGATCGGATTCTCTTCGCGGAAAATGTTTTTCATTTTTCAGCTTTCCATTCATTCGCGTGCATGTGTGTCTGGCAGTGGAAGAACCAAGTATACAGGGGGGGGGCCAAAAAAAAGTCATTCCGGCCGAGTCACATATGAGCGAAGTTTTCGCAGCCCAGACAGAGGAAGTGGATATAGGGCGGAAGAATACCCAAGATCTTCCTCTATAAGCAGGAGCCGGCTGCCGCCATTCACCTTCATGTACACCAAAATATGAAGTCATCTCCAGTCGCGGCCTGAGTGGAGAACGCCTTTGGAATTCACGTGGCCTCCAAACAGCTGCGGAACTTCTTGAATGGAATCACCCATGGATAGCTACCTGGAGACCAGTACTCTTGATCTGCAAGACCTCAAACATCGAGCAGCTCCGGCAACGTCGCTACGGTCCAGGACATCATCTTCACCCCATTCACCAAGGCGCGGGTTGATGGTGTGGACGGCCGTACCTGGAATGGAAGACCGATATTTTCTTTGTAGACCCCGACTGAAGGTGAGCGCTGGCAGTTACATCAAGTAACTCGAGAAGGATATCCTCCCTACATGTGGTCGCCCGTACCTTCTTGGAGACCTTGTGCTGCTACAGGTTTGGGTGCCACCACATGGAATCGAAGGGTTTTGGAAAAACTCCCTACTCGAATGGAAGGCGTCGCTACCTGATGAAGATGCTATATTGAAGCTATTCCCTTACCTAACCCACCAATTACTAGCCTCGGCGGAGCCTCAAAGGGTGCCGTCTACAGTGGCGGAGAAATCAAGATCTCGCTCAACTCCGGTACCCACTCACTTTCGCGCGGCCGAATCTCTCGATGGCGCTCCTCCAGAAGGCTGTGGCGGAAATTATTATAGTATTTAATGTGCTCTTTAATATGGTAGTAAAAATGTCCGATAAAAATTTAATAAAGTGTAACTTATAGCGCCTTGAAAGTCATGGAGGCAAAATGACTTTTTTTTTGGCCCCCCCCTGTATGCCATTTGAAGGCATATACTTGTGGCCACATTGTGGCCTGAAAGCGTGCTTGTGCTGCCCCTCGTAGCTCATGTCAGAAGGGTTATTGCAATGAAATACCATCACATTTATGTTGCCATGAAGTGTTTTGTGTCTGATATCCTACCTGAATCCACGCCCTCTGAGCACATCTATGCAACTTCATGTTGTTCCTGTTCTTTTCTGACCACACTCCTGACGAGAAACACCTCCGCCTGCAGGATTTTTATAACTAAGAATGCTCCCGCTTGCAGCACCGTCTGTTCTTGGTTCGCCAAGTTCAAAAAAGACGAGTATTCTATCAAAGATGACCAAAGGACAGGGCGGCCAACGACTGTGGATTTGGACTATGGGAGCTGGCGGGGAACCCATACCAAACCACTCGTGAGCTGTCCGCCAAGCTTGGTGTTAGCCAACCGACGGTGGTCCGTGGATTGAAGTCAATAGGAAAGGTTCAAAAATTTGGCCGATGTATACCACATGCATTATCGCAAAGGGACATGGATCGAAGGAACCTAAACACCGGAGATGAAAAGTCTAACATCCGCCGCGGCGCTTAATGCGTAAACATAGGAGGACAGGCAGAAGACGTCCTGAAATTTGAACTGCATGAAAAGAAAGTGATGCAGTCATCTGGCGGAGTGTTCGATGAGTAGAATACTGGGAGCTACTGAGAGAAGGCACAACATCTACATTGTTCAACTGCGAATTGAAGGCTCACCTCACGAACACATGGGGGAAACCAAGCCAAAGTGTGCTTTAGCATGACAACGCCAGACCACACATTGCAGAGACGAGGAAGTGTGAACGAGCGACATACGGCTGGACTGCAGTTCCCCAGCCATACCATACCCTCCAAACTTTGCACACTCTGACAACCACCTATTCCCGAACCTGCAACGCCAGTTATGGACATTTGGACGGTCAAGTATTCAAAACACGGTCGAAAGGCACTGAATGGATTCTTCAAAGCCTAGCCGACCTCGTTCTGGAGAATTTACGATTTACCCACTCGTTAGCAAAAACCAAAGATAAATGGAGCATATTTTAAATGGTTAGATGTGGTTGTATCGTTTTTGTGGTGTGATAAATTTTAGGCTTCAAATGTCCGAGGACTTCTGAATCAACCTAATAGCTCTTGCCAAGAGGAAGCTGTTGGGTACATCCGGTTCTGAACGCCCTATTAAGCGCAAGCAGCTACTGGCCCATGATGTACCTGCTAACACGGCTAGACGGGTTGTGACAAGTTTTGTGCCCCTTGACACGATTCAACAGGAGTGGACCTGGAGATAAGCAGACCGGAACGCTTTATATTCTTTTCTTAGTTGCTGGTGAGTGAACTCTTGACGCCCTCCTCCTTTCCAGTCCTGTTACTGTTTTTTCTTGTGCAACTTAATTGCTGTTACTAAACAATTTGCCTTCCTGATATTACACTCTTAATTTGCTGCAACGATATCTGGGGCTTCAAAAACCTCAAGGAACCTCACATGGAGGCGGAACCCAAGGATATCTCCAGACCCAGAGACAGAGGAGGAGAGTTTGAAAAGGTTGTGGCAGAACTGATCAAGATCACGATACTGGGCATGTCTTCACAGAAGGGTATTCCAAGAGAGAACGAGCTCATAGAGAGGCTGGATGGTAAGATAGTAGGTAGCTATACGATTTACTTAATTACAGTACCATAACACCAACAGAACGGACTGCGAGGCTGCCATTTTGCCTTATGGCATATAAGATGACAATACATCGAGGAACAGCGAAGAGTCCCTATATCGTGTTACACGGCATGGACCCAAAATTTCCATCAGCAATTATACTTAGTCACGAAATAAGCTGATATGCAAGATGAAAGTATTGGAGACTATAATTCGAATTTGCTGCAATCAGTAGTTGTCCATAAGGAATTTAAAAGAGTATAATCAACGTGACCAGATAAAACTAGAGTATGATACGAGGTGAAAGGTGAATGTGGAAAAACACTCAAAAGGAGAAGATTGTATTGGTCAACTCCCAATGAGAAAGCCTTCAACTCAAACCCAGGACATTATCTGCATCTGAAAGGATACAGCCCTCCACAGAAATTGAGGCTAATCAAAACTCGGCACTCACAGACAGTATAGGTGGGGACGAGGAGCCTATTAGCGTGCAATTTGGCACGATGCATCGACTCGACATATTTCATAACAAACACTGAAGAAATTAAGCTGCGCAGTTCCATATGCGGCCCTATTTTGACAGATCATACGATGACGCGCTAAAGGCAGTGTGACGGGCTGTAAGGGCCAGACCCCAAAAGGACGGTCTAATCAGGTTCATTTCTGGCGAAGGAGTAGTAGCAGGTGACAATTAAAAACCGGCCACATCATTTGACCGAGTTCCCTCGAGGAGTGGCTAACACGTTCCTGGGTGGTCACGTGGCCAACAGATTCAAAAATGGATGAACAAAAACTGGGAAGACTGCTGACAAAGGCTCAAATAATCAGCGATAGAAGAAGCATCACAGCGTGGGCCTTACATCAACGTTTTTCAGGGACCCTGGAGTGCTCTCGACAACGTTCCAGAGAGGAGCGACGACGTATATTTATTACAGCAGGTTCCAAGATTATTGATGGAAAATTGTATATTGAAGCCGGTTCGCCTGATTCGAGTGGACAGTTTTTGGCAGTCATGTAGACGCAGATGTGCTCAGGATTGCCTTCGAATCGGCAAAAGACCATGAGAACAATGTTCCGTTCCGGAGATGACTAGACGGGCAATTTTTGATATCCTGGACACGCTTCAATAGGAATGAACCTAGAGACAACCAGGCGGGGGCGCTTCACTGATATTCTTTTTTTCAGTACGTGTGTGGCGACTCTTCCCGTTCTTTTTTCAATCCTACTTTTTTTTTTCTTTTTTCCCCAGCGTATTCGCGGGTGCAATCTAATTTAACAGTGAACCGTTCGCCTTCCTGAACTACACTCACTTTGCTACAACCGCATACTTGTACGCGCAAGTCCTGAATATAACTGCAATATGTAAGGACAGCACAGTGAGTCTCACAAATACTACTAACAACTAACTGAGCGGCTTCTTCCCGCGGCGGACTTGGTGAGTTGGTTGTACATACGGGAGTTTTTCGGTTGTTCTTTGAAGTTCCGTCAGAAACGCTAGGGGGACGAGGCGTTTGACGGTTTAGAAAGCAAATTAGAAATCTTGAGCGATGTTCAGGCCTCCGAGGACGACGATCTGGTCGAAACGTTAGGCCGTAATAAACAGTTCCACCTAACAACCTCGCAGGCACAAAAGAATTACACACAAATAACAACGATGCCGAGGTTCTACGAAGAGAGAAGTTGGAGACTATACGTAAAAGCCTTTCATGAACGATCAAGGAAAATAGTTTCTGCGAGCACAGCGAATAAAGAAAAAACTATTCACACTAACCCAGGCACACGTATTTCCTGTGCAATCAGTAATCGTCAGAATAAAGATCTTCAAAGAAGTATGGCTAACATGAACATCATCCCTGTATATTTTCCACTTGTTGCCGAATAAGCTTCCATCTGGGTGAGAAAGCCAAATAAATGCGCTTTCGCTACTCGTATGGGAAGCCTCGTAGAAAAGGGAAAAATTACTTGTACCGGGGACCCAACCTGAGACCTTTCTCCTAAGGAGCAACTCGCATACACTACACAATGACCCACTTGAACCTATCCATACTTGAATTTCGTCAAACGAATACAGGAGAGCAGCAAAAATTGCCACGTTTGGACAAATTCCTCGAAACTTCTTAGAGAGTCGTTTTACGAATTTCAAATGGAGATGCCTCAACGCCTCAATACGCGTACCACGTACTCGATGCAAATGGTCGGACTGAATAATCGCAGGGCAAATCATTAGCTGGGGGATTTGATCGAGTGCATACGACTTCCCCCTCCCTTAAAGGGGGCTTGATACGACCCTCCTCCTCCTAGTTCCTTGCTCGACGAGCTGTCCAGAGGGGGGGAGGGTACACATTTGAAAACGGAGGAAAACACGACTCTCGCCTTCATCCTACCCACCGCTTTCTTAGATTTTCCCAAATCCCCACCACATTTTCCAGTCTTTCCGAAAGTACCCAGAAGTGTTCTCACTTTTTCCCCAAAATTTTGCTGCCTAGCGAGGGAGGGGTGGGTATATGGCACAAGTGAAACAGAAAAAACTGCGGAAAGTCAACACCGGGAAAATTTTTCCCCTAACGCCGCGAGTTTTTCTCAGAGGGAAGTATTGTCCTCGCAAATACCACTCCCCCCACTCCCCCAACAACAAGCAAATATGACCTACCGCTTATGGCGTCCGTGGAAGAAAACTATCAACTATTAAAAAAATTTCTTCGAAGACCAAATACGACTCCCCACTTCCCTAGCCACCAAGTAGAACCCCCTTTCAGTTTATCATCATAAGTGTCCCTCTCCCATACTTCACAGCCCAAATCCCCTTCGACGCGCGCAACGAATTCTGTGTCAAACACACGCAACGACACGTTCAGACATACTTGAAGAAATAGATATAGTAGGGTTTCTACTAAACAGTTTATCCGAACAAAATGTTATCTGAGAAATGTGCTGTCCCGGAGCCTCGGGTATGTGGATGTTTGAAATGACCTTTGGATCTCCTTATTGATTTTGATATACAAATTTGTTAGTTCAGTAGCCTAGAACCACTGTAGATTCGATTCCGACCCGCCTATGATATCGGTGTCTTACGATTAACAATGAAAACGAAACTAGCGCCTGTAGTCGGCTTACCATTTCTCTATACTCTGGTTCTGCGATTCGATTCAATACTTGCTCCACCTCAAGTGCGAACTTCATTTCTCGTCGAGTCATCTCCTGTGTTAAACCCCAGTGCAATATAGTATCATTGATGCGTACACCATGCGGAAGTCGATTCACCGTATCCCATAATGTCTGGAAAAAAATGCATGAAAGCTATCGTCCTCGCGAAATGCTCATCAATATGGAAACGTTCACTGCCTTCCTGTTCTGGAATTTTTGGTTTTTGGTATCATAAGAAGGTTGACTGCTTGGAAGGAGTGGTCATCTATTTAATTGTCATTCGAAGATGTATTCAGGGGAGAAATTCCCAGAGCTTCATTCTCAGTCTCTTCTCAGTGTTTCTTTCCTTTCTTGATTTAATTTTCAACTTTTGAGTTTCAAGCACCAGTCCTCACCGTCAGATCACTGACTAATATACTCATACTGATGTTACAAAGTTACACCGGTAATGATAAGATAAGCAACAACCTACGTTACTGGAAAATGGACGGAAGAGCAAGGAGTGCCAAGGATAGCTAATTGGGTGCTAGCAGAAGTGTAAGGTAGAAGTACGTGGATAAGCGGTGTATATAAAAGCCTGGACCAAGCATTCTTCGGGAGAATTAGCGTTACAAGAAGGATTTTCTTCTTGTAACGCTGATTCTCCCGAAGGATGCTTGGTTGAGATGGGTGTCCACTATCTTGAAGTCTGCATGCAACGTGGCTAGCCAGCACTGCTCGGAGTGCCCTTCAAGCCGCTTTCCGAGCACCTCGAGCTCGGGACCTGTCTTATGAACAGTGTCAGGATTCGCACGCAGCACATGACCGCACCGTCTGAGGCAGATTCGCGCGCTTTCTCAGTTACGACAGCTACACTGAATCTCTTCCTTAAGTCATTGCAAAGGCGATTCATACGCGTAACGCCGGCCGTCCAGCGCAACATTTTCGTCTCCATCACATCAAGGCGGGCTTCAAATTCGTTGGGCCAGCATCCAGCACTCTCTACCACGACATGTCTAATGATGGTTCTATAAACCTTCCACTTTGAGGCGCTCTGGCATTCTCGTCGCAGAGGGTTCCAAAATGGATGGCTATTTAGACCATACCGCACTCACGCGCCCATTGCGCTCACTTCTGAGTTCAGACCGGCATCAGGGACCAACTGCTGATCTAACTAGGGAAGGTCGTCAGGTCGAAGTGGCCATTTGTAATGAGATGTAGCTCACTAGACGTGGTTTTGGACGCTGATCTCGAATCTGCCTTCGAAATTTGCAGAAGCGATTCTCTGAACGGAATTATGAAGGTTTGTTAGAATTAAAATGAAGGAAAACGGAGTCGAGCGCGGTTGCCAGCCACGCATGAATAGCCGGGAAGCACCATTTCGTTCAACGGTGGCATGGTGTAGTGGTAATGGTCTTGCTTCGCGGGCATGCTATGAAGGGTTCGGATTTCTGGAAGGGAACTTGTTTTGCATTTTGTGGGGAATGTCTCTTTTAAGTCTAGAAAACACTCAAACGCCAAATGGGTGCCATATTCGTGTCATGGGAGAACTACCCTTGGGG